GAAAAGTTTCATTTTTAAACAATATATTTTATATATTATTGTTTCAATGGGAGCTCTATGATATAGTCGTCCGCTTTTGATGAAATTTAAACCGTAATTCTGAAATATTGAATCATTACTATATGTCGAAGAACTAAAAATAAATTATAAAACAGCAAAGTTATAATTTTTTGTATTTATTTTTCCGATTGTTCCTATGGGAGCTATATGCTATAGTTGTCCGATCCTGCTCGTTCCGACTTATATACTACCTGCAATAGATAGACAACTTTTGGGAAAGTTTCATGCAGATAGCTTTAAAACTGAGAGACTAGTTTGCGTATAAACGGACGCACAGACGGACATGGCTAGATCGACTCTCCTAGTGATACTGATCAAGAATATATATACTTTATAGGGTCGGAAATGTCTTCTTGACTGCGTTGCACACTTCTGACTGCAATTATAATACCCTCTGCAAGGGTATAAATACCGCAAGACTTTTTGACAACCTAATATATATAGTTGTTTAAAATAAGTGTAGTAGGTTACACAATATGCGGCGGAACTCTTTCTCAGCTTCGTACAACTGAGTTGGCCTTGAGATAATGGCGTCTTGATGCTCAAGTGAAGATTGCTGACTTCTTGTACTCCACTGGATCTACGATTGACCCCCGACGTACCGACTATTATACATGAACTTGATACCTCGACGACTTGAACTCCGACTTGACAACTTGAACTCCGACTTAATCACTTAAACTCATTGACACGATTTTACGACTTGCTCTCGTTTCTGCTACTCACGCTTCTCCGTTTTATCTCTCTCGTTGCTTTCTTATTCTCCGTATGGACTGGCAAAACTTCCGCAGCATCCAACAGCTGTCCTAGCCCGAGACAACTATCGATAACCTGAACAGTACGTTACATACATATATTTATGCATCTGTAAGGGTAGCGGTCTCAACATGCATTGCGGCGACTTTGTCTGGGCCCCGAATCATTTGCTGCTGCACCTTTTCTTGACCTGAACGCATTTAGCCTAATGCGCATTTATTTACACAGGGAAACCAAGGCTAAATGCCGCATTTAAAATAAAAGCGATACAAAATCATTCTGCTTGAACATTTTTAGAAAAAATACCGGAAAATACCGATGTTTAACAATATTTTGTTCGTGCCACCACTACTACAGCTGTTTTCTATATGCAATGTATGCGCAATTTTTGATGTCTTTTGAATATAAAATCTATATTGTATTTTGTATTTGGGTTATTAACAATGTTTACTTTAATTATTATAAGGGTAAACCGGCAAAGGAGTTAGAAAAAATGTTTAATATTAAATTAAGGACAATATACAACATTATTAATCGGTCAGAAAAGGAAAATCGGCTTCATTTGAACAATTCTGGAGGCAGACCAAAAAAGCTCACCAGATGTGATCAGTCAAAAATTTTGAAAAAGATTGGCGAAAATCCGTAAACTACACTCAGGCAGTTGGCATTCGAGTAAAGAAATGATTGCAATGTAACAGTGAGCCACGAGACTGTAAGAAAAGCACTCAATACTCACAGGTGATCATCACACGTAACGAGAAAGAAACCAATGCTCTTTGCGCTAAACATCGAATGGCGGCTCAACTTTTCTATTGCCAATGCTAACCAGGCGGCGGAGTACTGGAACGACGTTATCTTTTGTGATGAAAATTAGATAATGTTATATTATCATGATCGGCCAAGCAGAGTTTGTAGAAACCCGAAAACAGCCTTTAAACAAAAGAATATAATACCAACAGTGAAGTTTGGCAAACTATCTGTAATGGTTTGAGGATGTATTTCATCTAAAGGTGTTGGAGAGCTACGAATTTTTGATGACATAATGACCAAAGAGTTTTATTGGGACACTTTAAAAAAAAATGAACTAACAACAGCGTGAAGGCGTTTGAGTTCATGAACTCTCAAAACCGAATTCAATACAAACTGTATCAGGACAACGTCCCCAAACATAAATCATTTCTTTGCAAGTCCTGACTGCTGTATAACTGCAGCAAAGTGATTGACACTCCAGCTCAGAGTTCTGACCTTAACCCCATCGAAAATTAATTGTTAAAGAAGAAGGTGGCTAAACGGGGACCAATCAATAAAAAAGCTTTAATACAAGCAATTCAAGGAAAATGGAAGAAATTACCTGAGTACTATAACCTAAATGTCCTTATACAATCCAATGCTCGTCGACTAAATGCAGTATTAGATGGCCAAGGACACCACACGAAATATTATAACATACATTGTAAATTTTTTAAGTTTTCGTTACGAATTTAACCAATGTTTGCCTTTTGCAAAGAATTATTATTATTTGACAACTGAAATTTTGCTATTTTTTTGTTTTTAATATGTTTTTCTGTGGTTGATGCTGATATGATATATAGTTAAGAGTCACCCTTATAATATTATAAAAGAAAAACTAAAATAATTCATATTTTTGTTAATAAATATTGAAATATCTTGAAAATTTGTATTATTGACTTTATTCATTTTGCAAAGAATTAGTTGACAAACTGTACATATGTATATGTATTCATATATTTAATCAGTGCACTGGTCTTCGTTTTTCAATAAAAAGCGATCGTGTAATAGAAAATTGGCTCTATTCAACTTTCCTTTGTACTTTGATATTAAAGTTCTTAAAGACACTCTTAAGCGGTTCATTGCTTCTTGAGATGAGCTATTTGGATCAAAATGTAACTTTTTAAAATATACTCAAAGAGTGGTTCGATATCATTTTTCGAATCATTCATTTTTTGTAAAATTTCTACTTTTTTGAAGGTCTCCATGCTTACAACAGTAATAAACGCTCTTTTCGGATTTAAAAAGTTCGATTTCACCACACCGTCACCAGTTGGTTTGCTTGCAGAAAGCATTCAGCACGCTGCAGCGCATGTAAATTCCTGCACAAATGTGTATACGCAAGCTTGCAAAATATGTGCAAGCGCGCTAGGTTTTTATACCCTTGCAGAGGGTATTATAATTTCAGTCAGAACTTTGCAACGCAGTGAAGGAGACATCTCCGACCCTATAAAGTATATATATTCTTGATCAGCATCACTAGCAGAGTCGATCTAGCCATGTCCGTCCGTCTGTCCGTCTTTCCGTCCGTTTCTACGCAAACTAGTCTCTCAGTTTTAAAGCTATCTGCATGAAACTTTCTCAAAAGTTGTCTTTCTATTGCAGGTGGTATATAAGTCGGAACGAGCCGGATCGCACGACTATAGCATATAGCTCCCAAAGGAACAATCGAAAAAATAAATAGAAAGACATTATAACTTTGCTGTTTTTTAATTTTTTTTTAGTTCTTCGACATATAGAAATCGGTAAATATTTCCGATTTACGATTTAAATTTCTTCAAAATCGGACGACTATTTCATACTTGTATAGCTCCCATTGGAATAATCGGAAAAATATACAAAAAAAATATAACTTTGCTGTTTTTTAATTTTTCTATTAGTTCTTGGACATATAGTAATGGTTAAATATTTCAGAATTACTTATTAAATTTCATCAAAATCGGACGACTATATCATATAGCCTCCAAAGAAATAATAAAAGTATATAAAATAAATATCTAATAATTGAGCTGCAAATCATCATAGCTTCAATGTTTTTGAACATATACGCCAGTAAATCATAATTTTAATATTTTCAAAAATGTTTTATTCTTGCAATAGCTGCAAGGGTATATGAACTTTGCTTTCTTTCTTGTGTATTTATTTCTTTCTTAAAACAAAAAACGCGCAAAAAGGCGCAACTGTTTCAAAAACAGCACATTTCAAGGAATAATTCCGAGTAATTCACATTTTGATATCTAGGGGAACGAAGGGGAACGCCTATTTGGAAGTGTCGCAAACATTGAAAATCGTATAACTTTGTATTGAAAATAATAATAAAAATATTTTTTCGACTTTTTTGAAGGAAAAAAACTATTCTTTTTTTGATTTCCGTAACAATATTAGTTGTAAAAAAATAATAAATAGTTTTGTGTCACATAGAAATAAAAATTTATTTTTATTTAAGGCAAGGTACATTTATCTGAGTTTCAAGCAATATTTTCTATTTAAATTCCTTGTAAAAATTGTAATTTTTAAACAAATGCTTTGAAACTTTGACAAATACTAGTTCAATATATCCGTTTTTAATACAGCTAATTACTTTTTTGAATTTCCGAAATCGGTTTTTTGCCATTTTTTGGATTTTCTGGCCCACTGTGCAGTGTATGGACGTATGGTGTATTGGACAATAAGCCAAATAAAACTATTGGCATTCTTCATTTGCAAGCAGGGCTGACGATTCCGCTTATTTCCCGTCAAACCTGTTTGTTTTTAAAGCTTAGCTGTGGGAAAAATTGGTTAATTGCGGTAATTCTAGATTTTTTAAAAAAATTTCCTGAGGAATACAAGCAAAATGGCACCAAGTTTCCCGCGCTCCTGAATTTGTCTGCATACTGTTTCCTTTTCTTTTCCAGCAGATCCCTGTCTTTTTCCTCTGAGTCTGCCATCACGCCAACAAGATCCTGGATGCAAGGAATTTTATCCCTTATCACCCTGTTGAACATTAGTTCCGTCGGTGGAGCGCCTGTGGTACCGTGTGGAGTAACATTGTACATCAATACGAATTTCTGGATTTCTTTTTGTAGCTGTCGTTATTCGCGTGAGCTATCTTCAAACGTTTCACAAGAGATCGGTTCATGTTCTCTACTTCGCCGTTCGCCTGGGGCCAGTAGGGAGGTGTAGGCATTAACCTAATTCCGTTTGTGTGGCAAAAACTTTTGAACTCAGCGCTTACAAATTGCCTACCATTATCAGTCGTTAGCGTCTCTGGAAATCCTAGCCGTGAAAATATCTCCTCCATCTCATCAATAATTATTTTGGATGATATAGATCTGATTATTTTGAATTCTATATACCTTGAGTAATAATCTATGAGGACTAATATATTCTCACCGTTAGGTAATGGTCCCAAAAGATCAGTCGCTAGACATTTCCAGGGTCCATCCGGAAACGGGTGTCGTTGCATCGGAGCAGGCCTTGATGGCATTGACACTATAAGACAATCTCGGCACGCCTTAACGCATTGTTCAGCATCTTTGTCCAAACATGGCCACCAAACCTTTGAACGCAATCTTCGTTTCATGGCACTTATTCCGGGATGCCCTTCGTGAGCAAGGTTAAGGATTACACCTCGTAGTTTTCGTGGAATTACTAACCGGGTGCCTCGAAGTAGGATATCACCGACTATAGACAGTTCCAACCGAAACGGGTAATACGGGCTTGACAAATTCGCTTTCCATGAGTCTTGATTAAGACACGTCATTGCATCCACCATCTCCTCATCTAAGACACTCATTTCGCTGACTTCAGATATGGAGATGGATTTAGGTATGGATGTTGATAGTACGCGAAAAATATGCTCCTCTCCAGCCCAGTCGTAAGGTTCTGCATCAGTATGTTGGCACAGTCTTGACAGCGAGTCAGCAATATTTTCTTTTCCCGTTTTATAAATAACATGAAAACGGTAAGATTGTAGCCTCAGCAACCACCTTTCAATTCTAGCCGGGGGTCGCGATGTTGGTTTAAAGATCGTCTCTAACGGCTTGTGATCAGTTATTAAGTCAAATTTTAAGCCAGCCAAATAAAAATAAAATTTTTCCACACCCCACACTAACGCCAGGCTTTCCTTTTCGGTTTGCGAATATCTCTTTTCTACCGGTGAAAGACTCTTGCTGGCAAATGATATTATTCGTGGGCTATTAGATTTGTCAAACTGTACTAAAACAGCACCAAGAGCCACCGGACTAGCATCCGCAATTAAACAGGTTTTGTCTTTAGGGTTAAAGTATGAGAGTTTTGGTACTGCCGCAATTTTTTCTTTTAATATTTTAAATGCTTCATCCTGCTCTTTACCCCAAGCAAATGGTTCATGACTCTTTAGTAATTTCCTTAATGGCTCAGTACTGTCTGCCAAGTCAACCACAAATTTAGCCACGTATGTAGCTAGACCAAGGAAACTGCGTATTTCTTCTTTATTTTTGGGAGCTCTGAACTCAGTAATAACCTTAACTTTTTCTGGGTCAACTTCGATCCCTTGATCGGACAAAATGTGGCCTAAAAATTTTAATTTCTGAGCTCTTAGTGTACATTTCCTTTCGTTCAGCAGGACATTATTATTTTCCAAAATTGTCCTTACCATTTTTAGAGCTGCGTCATGTTCTTCCATATTGCTCCCAAAGACTATTATGTCGTCAATGTAGTTTAAGGCATTTTGACAAGGAGATAAGAGTTTTTCCATCAACCTTTGGAATATTTCAGGTGCCGAGTTCACCCCAAACATTAAGCGTTTGTATCGAAATAAGCCACGGTGCGTTATAAATGTTGTAATTCCTCTGCTGGATTCGGCCAATTCCAATTGATAATAGGCGTTTTTAGGTCGAGCCTTGAAAAATGTTTGGCACCTCTTAGTTTAGTCATAAAATTATCAAAAGTTGGCAATGGGTAGTTTTCTCTCTGAATAGCTTTATTTGCACGCCGCATATCTATGCATAAACGAATATCACCATCATCTTTAAATGCAATAACCAAAGGTGATATCCAGGCGCTTGGTCCAGATACGGGTTCAATAATGTCTATGCTTAATGCTTCTTCGAGTTTTTTATCAATTTTTTTTCCAACGCTGTCGGTACACGCCTAATGGGTTGTTGGATGGGAGTAATGGATTCGTCAATCGAAATTTTGACTGAAACGTCACTCCATTTGGGAAACGGTTCAACTTTTCAACTCTATGTACGCTTAGTCCCAGTCTTAAGACGTTGAGTTTTATAGCTGTGTCACGTCCTTACAAAGATTATTTACTATTTTCAATAACGTAAAAGGAGCAATCAGTTCAGAATCGTTCCGTACCGAAATCGGTGCTTCGAAAATTTGAAATACCTTGAGAAGACGGTCTGAGGCATAAGCTCTAAATTGGTTTACTGATTCTGTGCGAGCGTTAAACATGACTGCTTTTCCCTCTAGCAATTGTTGCCAATCCGAATGACTGATTAGGTTATACTTTGAGCCCGAATCAATAATCATGGCGACCGTATGACCACTTATTTTACACCGAATCTCTTCCTCGCCGGATTGCTCAGTTGCTACTCTAAACAGGTTGGTAGACTTTGAATCGCCATACTCATTTTGAGTTTCATTACTTATTGATTGTATCCTAGTATTTCCCTGACGTCGCCGTTTTCGATCCGGTTCTTCCATACCGAAGTTTGATTTTCGTACCCTCGTACGGCATTTCTTATAAAAATGCCCAAGTCTATCGCATTTCCTGCACCTCATGTTCCTAGCGGGGCATTCCGCGCTGTTTTCCCGATGCCCTCTTCTACCACATCTTCCGCACTCCATACCCGTGTCGTGCTGTATAATTTTGTTAATGCTGCTTGCGGTAGTTGGTGCGGCCATAGACTGCGTTTGTTTGTTTACTTGCTCATCTATGCAACATGTTTTTACGACCTCCTCCAAAGTTTGCTCATTTTCAAGCAATTTCTTCTTTAAGTCTAATGGGGCCCAGACATCAATAATTTTGTCGATTAAACAGATTTCTTCGATTTGTCTCTTAGTCTCCCCAAATGAACACTTAGCGATTTGTTGGCGTAATCTAAGTAAAAACTCCGTAAAACCTTCTCCTTCCACCGGTGTCATCGATCGAAACAGGTGCCTTTCGAACGCGGAATTTCGCAGCGGTGAAAAATACTCATTTAGTTTGCTTACCAAAGGAGTAAACACGTCATTTTTAGCCTTGTCGTCGTATGGTATCAAGGCGCCGGGAATGCTATACACAACCGCCTGAAGCTGAGGTCCACCCAAGTGAAGGAGTTTATTCCTCTTTTTATATACATTTGTGATCTCCTCCGTGTCCACATATATAGTAAATGCGCGCAGCCACATTTCCCACTCCGTACGCCATAGTGCCTTGTCCATCGCCTGGCATAGAAAAGGTTTCAGCTCCGTCATAATTATTCCTGAAATTAAAACGTAAATCCCAGAATAATCCTCCAACATCGGGCTTTTCTGTATTCTCATTCTTTGCTCTTATTCCATTAGGAACAGATAACTTAAGGCTTTTACTTCTTTCCTTGATCTCATTCCATTTGGAATAGGCGCTTTTTTTAAAAGCTCATTCCATTTGGAATTTCTTGTTCTCATTCCATTTGGAATAGACTCTTTTTTTTTTTTTGGATCTCATTCCATTTGGAATAGACTCTCTCCTCTCTTTTTTTTCATTTCTTTAATCCTTCCATTTGGCAAGGATTTTTCCACTCTGGCAATGCTGTGTGCCTGTGTCTTCTTCTTCTTCTTTTTTTTCTACTTACATTTCTTTTGCACACTTCACGTTTGCTGATTTAATCGATTCGATTATCTTTTTCTTGCAAAAGGGTTAGCACAAACTTAATCTCCGGCTTTATCCTCGTCGCCAGTGTAAAGACCACGATCTCCCACTGAATGAAAACACTTTATATCAACTGATAATTATATTCTTTATTGACCGTCCGCTCTGGTCGGTGACTCTGGAACTAATAATAAAGGCGTTGCCAACGGATTGGCCAAGTACCAGCCAAACCTACTGTGGAGATAGGGAGAGAACATTACTCTTCTCCTTAGCGTCGCTCTCTGCTGATACAGGTCGCCA